GAAGAGCGTTCAGCCAATTTTGGGATAATTAATGGAGTTATTCTCTGGTTGGCTGCGGGGTGGAACAGTCTGACTGTAGCTAAGAACCAAGAAGCTCAGAGTAACCAGTAACAGGATTCACAGCTTCTGCCTGCTCCGGCTGGAATGAAAGCAGGAGACAAGCTTTGAACTAGGCTGGCCTCTCTTCCAAAGCATCCCTCACGCTGGAACGTTTTCCCACCAGGAAAAAGCAAAGAGGAAGATTCCGAGGGCAATGTCGGAAAGCAAACGACAGCGTGACACTTTCAAAAAATCCAACAGGAGACTAAACACTCGAGGATTTTCCCAAGTTGCTGATATTTGAGGGACTTACATAATTATAGCCTAGAGGAGGAGAAAAGTAACGGAGCGTACCTGAGTAATAGGCTTGTCTGGGAAGAAGGAATAAGAGGTGGAAGAGCCGGTCAGGATGTCCAGCACCAGCGGGTTGTCGGGATCGGCCACCATCCTGGCAGGCAGAGGCACGGTGAGCAGCACGAAGACCCCCCCGAGCCCCCCACACCCAGAGGGATGCGCAGGCGCCGACTCAACCGCATGGACCCCCTCGCCCTTCGGGTAACCGCACCCGTGCAAGGAATTAAATATTTCCTCAGGATCCATAGTCCAACCTCCCTAATTTACGTGAAGAAATGTTGGTAAGCCAACAACTAAGCTGCTTTGGAGGTCACTTACCCAACTCCTCGGAAAAGGATGGGGTTCAGCGCCGCCTTCCCCACGATGGTGGGAGCCTTCAGGAGATTTTCCGTGTCCGCCACGATGAGCGTGTGCTGGGAGGGAACAAGAGACGGGCGTGAGGCGCTGCAGGGCCTGAGCTTCGTCAGGTTCTAACGGCACCGACAGCTGCTCTCATCCTTTGAAAGTTAAAAACTTGTTTTTTACAGACAATTCAAACGGAGCAGCTGTTGGATGAACACTGCAGTTTTATTAAAAAGCAGGAAACCAGCGTTTTTTTGTTTAATTAAATTAATACTGATGCATGCGGAAACGTAAACCACTTTTCCACAAAAACTGCGACATCTACAGTGTTTTACTTCCCCACATTTAGCAACTTTCATCCTTAAACTAGGCCAACATCGATGTACTGCTTCAACAGTTTAATTTAAATAAAAATGAGCAGAATATATTTAGTTCAGATCTTAATATAGGTTTTCATTTTTAAGTACCAGATGACACTAGAGGGGAAAAAAAAAAAAATCATAGAAACGTGCACGTTTCTATACTGATCTCTGGGACTGAAAATCTCCCTTCCTGCATCCGAAGCGTCGCGCTCGGCATCTGAGGCGCTTCGCCCGCAGGCGAAATTCTCCCCCCCGCACCCTTGGGAGTGGTTCAAAGCCACCGTTAACCGTGGTGTGACTGTCGGAGACATGGTGGCAACTGGAAACTGTCATCTGAAAGATCACACCTGGGGAATTCGGACAGATGGATTTGAGGGCAGAGACCCCAAACGAGCAGAGCTTTGTGGTGTTATGTCATGCTGTCAAGCAGAACTATTCATGACCTTCTTGGGAGGAGGGTGGGAGAGCAGAGAACAGATGGAGGAAAAAGGGAAAACAAGGACAGAAGATTCATCCCCAAACCTTTACACCTAAGATCTCACTAAAGAAACCCAAAATGTGCAGGCAAACCCGTTTACCTGGCCGGGGTCAGATATGTCATAGTTGTGATGGTCGATGACAGCTGTCCTTTCCTCATCAAACTCGATCCCACACTCACTGCCCAGCTCTCGCAGCGGGTCGCCTGGAAGGACAAATAGATTCTCTGTTATACAGCGTGTTCAGGACACGGCACCAGTCTCAGCACTCAAAATAAAAAGTAAATTTGGCTGAGAGTCACACGTTTGACACTCTACGAGCCAAGCTCTAAGGAGCAACACAACCTCTCCCAGCTAAATTCCCATTCAAAATGTAAAAAAAAGGCTACTTATCCCCCATTTTCTTACAGCACAAGCCTTGAGGTTGACAACAAGAAGCAAGAAACTGTGTTTTCTCACCTCTGTTTTTTACAGGAGCTCAGAAAAGGACGAATAAACCATTTGCTCACTGCGGAGCACAAGCAGTGCAGGTGCCTGTTACAAGAAGCGGCTGAACACGCCGATTTGCTCGGACGAACGTTTGCACTCACCAATGTCCGAGCTGGCGGCTACGAGGACGCTGCCACCACCATCGATGAAAGCGGTGATGGTCTCCACGTTGATGTTTCCACCAAAATCTGAAAGCACACACCAGAAATTCATGACTGGTCCTCAGAAATAATTCCACGGCAGAGTCGAACCACGGCAAACACCAAATAATTTTTATCATAGCTGAAAGAACCACTGTTAAAGGCCTGGAAGCATCTGCTTCCGGGTACAAGGCACAAAGGAGAACATTTAAAGAGCAAGATATAATTAAGATTCACAAAACAGTTGTAAATCTTCTTCCAGAAATACCACCAAGCTTCGAAAGCTCTTGAGTTTTCCCCTCTTCTATTTACCTTCTATGGACGGTGAGAAGATGATCAAGTTGTCGTACAGAAATTCTCCGTATTTTATCAGGGACAGGCCTGCATCATCTGCTGTCCGGAAAGTGAGATCAAAGCCCCTGTCTGCAGCCACAAGACAAAATCAACAACTTTTACTTTTCACAAAATCGACACATATAGCAGCAAAGCAGCATCGAGATCCTGAAGGGTTTTTTTCCCCAATAAATTGCAGCACTTTGGAAAAAACGGCATGAGGGCTTTTGGGTTTGGTTTTATATGCCTCTGAATAGCCCCTTTGTCGCAAGGATGTGCTGTTGACACCCACCAAGTGGGGACCAGCACTGCAGGGGACACAAAATACAGGCACGGCTGGGGAAACAACCCCAGTCTCCTCCCTCAGCCCGACCAGGGTACCCCAAACACCCTCCTTTCCCCCAGGGGACCCCAATCTTCCCCCTCAGCCTGACCAGGAGACCCCAAGCACCCCCCTCTCCCCCAGGGGACCCCAGTCTCCTCCCTCAGCCCGACCA